AGGAACCACTAGTAAACCTGCAGATTGAGAGCGAATTGCTCTCAATCTGACATCATTAAATTAAGGTTGTGAATCAAGAAGTCAAGCACAAACCTTTACAGTAGAAATGAGATGTAGGTAGTTGTGAACCTCTGGGCTGAAATCCTGTGATTTCAATATTTGTTTGCTCAGCCTGTATGGGCCCACCTGATAAAGCCCCAATGAAGGAGCAGACCGGTTTATCTGATCTCACTGAACACAAATCAAAATGAGACTTTCAGGTTTTCTAAATGTGTGGCATTAACCTCGAACCCGTGACTTTGGGGCAGTCTGCAGTGGATTAGTTCAAGTTTAGTGGAAAATGAAGTGAGCAGGCCTCACTGCTGCCTGTAATGGCAGCTAGGCCTACAAGCTTCCAGGGGCTTAAGCAATGTTGACTTTTCATCAAAAAGGAATCTGTTTTTAGTGCAGAGGGTTAGAGGAGGAGGAGGAGGAGGAGAGGGGAGCCTGGTGGAGAAGGAGGGCCTGAAGAAGAGGAGGAGGAGGAGGAGGTGGGAGTCTGCATAAGAAAGCAGCCCCACCCTGGGTCTGTCTGCAGGAGCAGAGAGCAGCTGCAGCAGAAAGCTCCCATCAGCAGGTCAGATCCCGTCCTGGTTCCGATCCAACCGACTGGACCTCCGCGTCTCAGCTCAGATCCCCCCACCCCCCCTCAGACATGCTCCCCCCGGGACTCAGCGTGGCTCTGCTGGCCGTGTCCTGCGCCCTGTGGCCGCCTGCAGTCCGGGCGGCCGCCTGTGAGCCGGTCCGGATCCCGCTGTGCAGATCCATGCCGTGGAACATGACCAAGATGCCGAACCACCTCCACCACAGCACGCAGGACAACGCTGTGCTGGCCATCGAGCAGTTCGAGGGGCTGCTGGGTGAGTCCCGCTTAACCAGAACCAGAACCGGAACCGGACCTGGTGCCGCTTCTACTCTCATTGGCTTTTAGCGAGTTCAAGGGAAAAAAAAATAATTCAAGTTTAATCAAACGATTTTCAACTTTTCCCCCAGAGAGAAGTTAGTGGTTAGGATTAAAAAGTTCTAGATTGAAAAGTTCTAGAATAAAAAGTTCTAGATTAAAAGGTCCTGGATTAAAAAGTTCTGGATTAAAAAGTTCTAGATTGAAAAGTTCTGGATTAAACATTTCTGGATTAAAAAGTTCTGGATTAAAAAGTTCTAGATTGAAAAGTTCTGGATTAAACATTTCTGAAATAAAAAATTGTAGATTATAAAGTTCTGAATTAGAAATTCTGGATTAAAAAAGTTCTAGATTAAAAGGTTCTGGATTAAAAAAAGTTCTGAAATAAAAAATTGTAGATTATAAAGTTCTGAATTAGAAATTCTGGATTAAAAAAGTTCTAGATTAAAAGGTTCTGGATTAAAAAAAGTTCTAGATTAAAAGCTTCTGGATTAAAAAATTATAGATTGAAAAGTTCTGGATTAAAAAATTATAGATTGAAAAGTTCTGGTATAAAAGGTTCTGGATTACAAAGTTCTGGAATGAAAGGGTGGCCCAGCGGTTCTGCTCTAGGCCAATGAATTTAAATGATTTAAAGAACTAAAAGCTCAGAAAATGAAACCATGGAAACAACAGAAGCTGGAATCCAGTTTGTTTTAAAACCTGCTGCTGGTCTGTCTGAACGCATCAGTCTGAGTTTAAATCGTTTTCTTTCATTTTAATCCTTTGGTTTGACGCTGAAATGGATCCATTTAGCAACTTTAATGACTCTTGGTTTGATGGTTTGAGCCACACAGCATCAATATTTCCAACTATTGTGAGTTTTATTGTTTGTCTCTCTGTCCGTCACCATGGTGATCCGTCACTTTCTGAGGATCTGGATCCGGTTTATGGAGGCGGTTCAGGTCCTTAAAAACTGACGTTTGAATGTTTGATAAAAGTGATGAAATGTTTGATCCCAGATCAAAGGATCCGTATTTATCCCACAGGGACGGTTCCTGCTATCAGTTAGCGACCTGGAGGCGGAGTCTGTCCTCTGCAGGTTAAACCTGAACGCCGTTCATTGGCGCCTTTATCTTTATTGATCTCCTGCAGTTTATGCAGAAGATTCTCTTCTTTATGTAGAAATATAAAAGTAGAGCCACATGTTCTCCAGACCTCCAGAAAAAAATAATTGGCTCTTTATTTACTGGATGTTTGTTTGTATCTAACAGTTTCAGCAGCAAATTTCCAGATGTGTAAAAGTAGAAATGTGGAGATAGAGTCGCCTCAGCAGTGAGAAATGACGTTTATTAAAAGCTTGGCTGAAAATGAAATCCCTGCCAAACGGCAGCGAGCTGTTGGTCAGACGGTTCCCACACAGGGAGCCAATGTTTGGTTTATTTGTTCTGGAAGGTTCTGTTGATCTCATCTTATCGGAGCAGCAGCTTCTCTGCAGCTCCTCCAGAGCTTCTGTGGTCCTGGCTGCTTCTCTGACCCATGCTACTGTAAGGTTAGCAGCCATCAGCATCAGATGCCTGATTGGGCGGAGCTTTGGGCTCTACTTCCTGTCTGTTCTCTCCTGGCTGAAGGAGACCAGCTTCTTGTCTCCTTGACCTTGTCAGCATCTGGGTCAAAGGTCAGCAGCGGCAGGAAAAGCAGCGATAAAGCAGGCAGAGGAAAGCTTCTCTCAGGGCCCACAGGTAGAGCCAAAGCAAAGTTTCCTCCCACAGAGACGTCCTGAGCTGGATCTGCATGCCTTCACGCCCGGCTGGAGCTGCTGGAATGAATGTGGTCATCCGATCTGAGGAACGTGTTCCTGCGCCGTTCTTCTAGGCAGCAGCTGCGTTTGCGTCCCGTCCAGTCTTGGCTTCAGGGAAACGTCTGGATTGAAGTGGAAGGAGCAGATTTTCCAGCTTGTTTTTCTGAATCATTTGAGCTGACAGAGCAGAACTGTAGATCTGCTCATTCTAGACACAGCTGGGTGTGGAAAGCACAGCTTTCTGTGCTGCTTATCCAAACGTATCCAAGGGAAGAAGGTGACCTCGGATGACCTTTCCAATCAGACCCTGTTCCACCATAAAACTGCTGCTTCTAGCATCTTGTGGGAAAAGTTGCTTTTTTTTGCTGATGCTTGTTCTGTGTTGTTTTGCTCGTCTAAGTGGATCAGAACATCGACTGGATCAACTGCCAGGAAATATTGTTCCTTTATCCTGGCTGCTTACTGGAGGAATCCGTCTACCTCCGGTCCATCCCTGCATCATCCCTCCATCCTCTCTGTGCATCAGGAGCTTCTGGGGATCAGAGTTTCATTAAACCAACGGTCATGGTTTAGATTTCCACAAACTGCGTTTTATGAATCCAGTCGCAGAGCAAACATTCAAAGTGAAACAGCGGCGCGGCGGGACGGACCGGCCTCCATGATGCTTCCCTCCATGGACCAACGCCGCCCTGAACTCTGAGCCTCAGCTTCTTCCTGCAGAAACACCCTCAGCAGCAGCGCAGAGGCCCTGGGTGACTCTGGAGGAGCTGCAGAGGTCTGGAGCTCAGCTGACAGGGTGACTGACAGGCATGAGATCTGACCAATCAAACTAATGAGAAGAATCCAGGGAGGAGCTCTGATCCGAAGAGAGTTTTTAAGGAATGGTTGACAGGAAGCTGAAGCCCAGCAGCCCCTCATGAACCAGGGTCCCTCTGGTTCTGTGGAAGGATGGAGGAAAACACAGATGAAGTTCTACCAGAAGGAGAACCTGCCTGAAAACGCAGTTAAAGCAGCAGTGGGATGGTCCATGACGTAGAACGGCCTAGTCAAAGTCCAGACTGTGGAGGACATGAACACTGATGGAGATGGAAACACCCTGAAGACCAGGAGGAGTTCATTCAGTAAAACCATCCCGAACCGTTTCAGAAATCCTTCCTCCTGCTTCTCCAAGGTTCCCCTGATGAATCCTGCAGCGTGTTCCGCTTCAGGATGAGCTGATCTGATGGAAACATTGAGCTGAAGCTACAGCACCACCCTGAGCCAGAAAAAGCTCCTGATGGAGGAGCTGCAGTCGGACCTTTAGGAAGCAGCTCCAGGTTAACGTCGTCTTCCCGCCTTTAAACCCTTTCTGGTTCTGTGTCGTTTGAAACCAGCAGGTGGGGGCGCTGCTCCAGTGTGCGGTCAGACCCTGGAAGTCCTTCCTGCTGAGGGGAAACGGAACGAGTACCTTTAAATGTTCTCAGAGTTTAACAGATGTAGGAGGAAGGATCTTCTTTCTCCCTGCAAACCATCCGCTGGGGTCCGCTTACTTTACAGGTCCTTCTCAAATATTAGCATACTGGGATAAAGTTCATTATTTCCATAATATAATATGATAAAACTTGAACATTCATATATTTTAGATTCATTGCACACTAACTGAAATATTTCAGGTCTTTTATTGTCTTCATACGGATGATTTCTCATCCAGCTCATGAAAACCCAACATTCCTATCTCACCAAATGAGCATATCATGATAAAGGTCTCTAAACGAGCTGCTATGCACCTAATCATCTGAATCAACAGATTAACTCTAAACACCTGCTAAAGGTTCCTGAGGCCTTTAAAACTCCCAGCCTGGTTCATCACTCAGACCCCCATCATGGGTCAGACTGCCGACCTGCCTGCTGTCCAGAAGGCATCATTGACCCCCTCAGCCAGAGGCTCAGACACAGAGAGATGTTTCTGAACCAATAGGCTGTTCCCAGAGTGCTGCTGCATCAAGGCGCCTCAGTGGGAAGGAAAAAGTGACAGAAAACGCTGCACAGCCAGAAGAGGAGACCCTGAGGTAGATTGTGGAGAAGGGCCGATTCCAGATCTTGGGGGACCTGCGGAAGCAGTGGACTGAGCCTGGAGTAGAAACATCCAGAGCCACCGTGCACAGGCGTGTGCAGGAAATGGGCTACAGGTGCCGCCTTCCCCAGGTCAGCCACTTTAGAACCAGGAACAGCAGCAGAGGCGCCTGACCTGGGCTACAGAGAAGCAGCTCTGGACTGTTGCTCAGTTTTACACGTCATTTGGAAATCAAGGTGCCAGAGTCTGGAGGAAGACTGGGGAGAAGGAAATGCCAAAATGCCAGAAGTCCAGAGTCAGGTACCCACAGTCAGTGATGGTCTGGATCGGGGGGGTTAAGGGGTTCCTCCGACGATCTGAGCAAAGATCTCACCATAAATAAATCTCATGGCTGGTTTGGACTGGTGAATATCAACATCGCACTGCAGAGAATCTCCATCAAGACACCAAGCTATCTGGACTCCTCATGGTGGGCGGGGGGACAGGAGAGACCTCCCAGTCAGCCCCTGGTGGTTTTAGCCTGGGCAGGGAGCAGGTACGCTATCCTACCACCGCTGGACAGGAATGCTGTCCTACCACCGCTGGACAGGTACGCTGTCCTACCACCGCTGGGCAGGAACGCTGTCCTACCACCGCTGGGCAGGAACGCTGTCCTACCACCGCTGGGCAGGAACGCTGTCCTACCACCGCTGGGCAGGTACGCTGTCCTACCACCACTGGACAGGTACGCTGTCCTACCACCGCTGGACAGGAACGCTGTCCTACCAACGCTGGGCAGGTACGCTGTCCTACCACCACTGGACAGGAATGCTGTCCTACCACCGCTGGGCAGGTACGCTGTCCTACCAACGCTGGACAGGAACGCTGTCCTACCACCGCTGGGCAGGTACGCTGTCCTACCACCGCTGGACAGGAACGCTGTCCTACCACCGCTGGGCAGGTACGCTGTCCTACCACCGCTGGACAGGTACGCTGTCCTACCACCGCTGGGCAGGTACGCTGTCCTATCAACGCTGGACAGGTACGCTGTCCTACCACCGCTGGACAGGTATGCTGTCCTACCACCGCTGGGCAGGTACGCTATCCTACCACCGCTGGACAGGTATGCTGTCCTACCACCGCTGGGCAGGTACGCTA